TATATATATATATATAAAATACATTTTTTAAAGTTAATACAATATCTGGTTCAAATGAACTGATCAATATTTTATTAATTTTGTTGCATGGAATGTTATGCATCTGGAAAAGCACAAATAAGTGAACATTGGTTTGACTGATAAAAATCTATTTAATGTTCACATTAATATTAAGACAAAAGAGTCGCATTTTATCATAAGTTCTATTTCAATTTTACAGCTCAATCCCCCGATAGTTTCCTGCTTTGTATATTGCTACGTTGATTTGACGTTAAATCATAAGCTTAAGAAAATTATGAATAAAGTGCAAACTATAAAATTATTACAAAATATTTCTTTACACAAGCTTCTTTAAACAAGTTTAATAAATCTTCCACATTCTTTTGAACTTCCGAAAGCAAAGTATTAGCATTATAAATTGATTATTGTGTTAAAACATTAAGTTAAAAAAACATAAAAAAAGTCTATAAATAAAGCAAATTAAACAACCATTGTTTATTAAATGAAAAATATTCTATATTTTTAAGTGAGATTTTTAAATTTTTGAATACTTTTTTGGATATAACCATTTATCGAAACATAAGCACTTTCTGGAAGTCTTTCTGTAAATTGCAGAGGTATTATTCAACTTCAGTAAATTATGTGGCGAAAATGCACTACATGATAGCTTCCATATTAACCAAAATGATGTCATGACGTAATTGGTCTGATAAAACCATTCTGTGAAGGGAATGTACAGAGGTTAGCGTTCTGGCTTGTTAAGAAATTTACCAGTGTTCAAATCCTAATGGTGTCTAATTTTTAATTATGTCGAAATTTTTTCTACTGTTTTTTAAAGATAAATCTTATATTTAGAGTAAAAAGTAATGGAGCCTACAAAAAAAAAAAAAAAACTATTCAAGGCAAACTTTCAAAAAAATTTTTTTTTCAATATTTAAATTTTTTTAGAGTGTTGGCAGTTAAAAATATTATTACAAACTGCAAAATTATGATTTTAAATACTGAGTTGGGATGTTGTTGTTATGAGGTTTGGTAAAAATAAAATTCATTAAATACGGTATTCAAAATGAAGAAAATAATTGAAAAGGTGATCGCAAAGTAGAACATTTTTGATCCTTACAAATTAATCCAATGCTTATTAGATTTATCGATCAAAAATTTATCTACCACAAAATATCTTTATGCAACATCAATTAGTCATTATTCATTTTCAGTTGTTAGTTAATATATTGTAAAAATCACAATAAAAGCACAATGATCTTGTTTGTAAATGAACGCATTTCAAATAATAATTGAAAGTTATGTTTATAAATGCATTATGCATTTTGTTTTACAGTTAAAAGTTAATTTATTTTTGGATTTACGCCCATCACCAATTGGACATCTATTCTTTTCACGGCAGAGAAGAGTGCTTATATTTTTATTAAGCTTTAGTTAATTATAATAATACAGGGAACAGTTTTCTTTACAGAAAAAAACTGAATTGGTTTTACACTTAAATCTCTCCAGACAATAGCCATTTTTATTGGTTTAAATTTGTTTAAGTTTTAAGCATTAGATTTATGTAAATGATTTACATGTTTACTACACACACAAGAAAAAAAAATAAATATGAAAGCATAATTAAATTGGCATTTGAGTTATCTGTCACAGTTTAGAATTTAAGCAAATATTTTAAACATGGTATTTAAAAACTCATTTCATAATTAATTATTTTTTAAAATAGCTTATTAACTTTGTGTGAAAACATATTTTGATGAAACAATAATTAAAAAATAAGTAAAAGAATATTATAATAATTAATAAATAATAATATTTAAAAAACAATTAAAAAGTAAAATGATAAGTAGATTTTTTACTTTCATGTTTTTAAATAATTGACTAGTGATAAAAAAATCTATAAATCACGGAAGATTAAACTTCCCCATTTATAGAAGTTCAAAAAACCTTATTTAAAATCTCTTTAAAAACATTTCATCGGTTAGTTTTTTTTAAAGTGAATATTTTCTTCAAATAGTTTGTATTTAATGAGAAAATATTTTGTTGACAAAGAAGTCAGTTAAAAGAAAAATTAAACACCAATTTTTGATGAAATTAAATGAACCTGATTCGAAAAAATGTTCTAAATATAATATTAATAATAATTATTCTTAATTGATAAGACAAAATAACATAGTACATACATACTCTTTTAAATTATATCGGGGTACAAAATGGTTAAAATCAGTTATTACGTGACTAAAATTGTCTGGCGTTTTCATTTCTTAACAAATTATATGGTAATTAAAATTAAGAAAGAGTTCTGAACTTATTTAAAATAAAAAAGTATAGATCAAATTGCTTTTCTAATTAAAAAATGTTAAGATATAAAATGATCAAAATTTTTTTATAATGATCTTGATTTTCTGTGTAAGTATAAATGCTTTATGATTTTTTTAATGAAGGAAAAAAAATCAGTAATTAAAAAAGATATTAAAATTTCTCTGCGACAGTAAAAGACAGTAATTAAAAAAGATATTAAAATTTCTCTACAAAATTTTGTTTAGCTAAAAAAAAAACAGCTTAATTTTTTAATATTTTCTAAATGATAAAATTAAAAAAATTACTAAAATTGGTTTAATTTTTTTGCATTAAATTGAGTGTGAAAGATAAAACTATGAAAGCATAATTTATTTCCATTAAACCTTGACTGCAAGTTTTCAAATTCTATAAATATGTTTTGAAAAATCAGTTATTAAAAAAAATGTAGAAAAGTAACAATGAAAAAAAGTTTAAAATCATAAAAGCTAGTTTTATATTCTTTAAATTTAACTTAGTTTTATATTTTTATAGTTTTTAATATATTTCTGATAGGTTTTGATAGTTTTATATATTTTAAACATTTATTTGGCTGTATTAAAATTAATAATTAGATAAATAGTTAACGGTAAGAATGTTTGCAAACATTAAAAGCAAATTAGCATATGGTTAAAATTAATAGTCAAAATATGTAGAATTTCCCTCAATTATTTATATATATATTTTAATTAACATATAGCTATTTTTATGATATTATTTTGTGTGGAATATTTTTAAAATTTAATTTACATTTTTTCAAAACTTAGAAAAAAACTGATACCACCATTTTTAATCCAAATTGAAAAGATTTCATCAAATTGAAATATCCAATAATTCTTGCTTAGAAAATATGTATAATTGTTTTTGAACTCCTTCGTATAGAAAAATTCAAAAACACCAATCTTCAACTTTCACAAAATATCCATAAGAATTCAATTCAGATGAAATGCATCGTAAATATCGCAGGAATGGTGCTAACGAGTTCATTAGCTTATTAAATCCAATTTAATTTGCATTTAAAGTTTTTAAAAAAACACTTTTCCGAACTCACCTTTGCAATCATGTCTATCACATGGGAGGAGACAAAAGTGCCTTGATTAAACGCAAACACTTTTATAACCCCGCTTGCCCTACATTTTGGCCTAAATAGGCCGATTTCACTTTCACTAAACACCAGGCATCGGTAACGACCGTTTTAAGCATACTATTTTGCTTTCCCTTTTCAATATGGGTTTTTGATTCTAAAAACTTTAATGAGGGAGTTTTTGTTTTGGTGAAACAAGTGCCTTTTCATGTGGTAATCGAGGGGTGTTTGAGGAAATGATTATCGAGCAGACGAGATGTTTCTGCCGAGTACTGTCGAGCTCGCTTAGTTACGAGCTCTGATTTAACGCGATTTGAAGAAGAAATATTTAATAAATGGGTGATTTAATGTTAAAAGGTTTACATGTAACCTTGTTATTACATGCGCAACTTGGACATAAGCTCTTCAAATCTTTTTGAGAATTATTTCATTATTTAAGAATTATTTTATTAATATATTTTGGTATTTTTTCATTATAAAAAACAGTCTGATAGTTACTAAAAATATATGTTAGATTATCGGAATTTAATTTGTTTTAGCAGAAATAAAATCTAAACGCTTTTTACACAGATGAAATCTTAAACAAAAGTAATTCAAAAACGTTTTTTGATTCACATTCAAAACGTTTTTACTAATTGATTTGGCAAATTGAATTAATTTCAATGATGTAAAATTGCTTTTTTTTTAGATCTAAAGAACGACAGAAAAGAGTAATTTTTAAAAATTGTTGCTTGGAAGTGAGCCTTATTTGGAGATTTTTACCTTTAACGCAGAAAAAGACATCGGTGTTTTCAGGCTTAGAACCATAAATAATTCAATTGCTAAAAATACTATTTTTTACTTAAATGGACCGAAATTAATACAAACTAATGAAAAATATGTTTAATAAAAAACCCATAGGGCAAAAAAGAGTAATTTTAGTCCATCAGGGATAATTATGTGATTTTTCGGTGAAATTTTCTTTCTTTCGAAGTGGTTTAAAAATGCTGCTTTAAGTCCGTCTGTTCAGAAACTGCATGTAGACAAGAAATAACAAAAAATATTATGAAGTTTATCATGTGTAATGCCATGAATTACACATTTGCAATAAATTACATAAATTTCTGTGCAACATTCTATACCTGCTGTTGCTCTTGGTGACCAAATGCGACCTCTTGACCAAATGCCAGTAGAGCATGGAATCTGATAGTGAAGGCTAAGAAACATTTAAGTTATTACAATGAAAATCTGAAGATATGGAGTTTACGAAGAAACTTCAAACATTTTAAAGAAGAATTAAGCATTTTAATAATTTATTGTTATGAAATATAGCGTAAAATGTTACAGAAAAATCTGATATACCATAATTTTTCAGTAATATTTATTGTAAAATTATTGAACCGCTGTAGTTAAATGATTATTACTAAAAAAATATACGGTATAAATTTCACTGTAAAAAATGAATTTTATGGTGAAGTTAATTTTACGGATGATGATACTTTTTACCGTAATTTATTCAGGAATGTTTTACCGTGTAATTTTATAAGGATACATTAGAATACATTAGAATTAAAATATAGTACTTATCACCACACATTTCGTGTATTATCCTAATGACACATTTCGCCACACATTTCGTGTAATATTCATTCTAATGATTAGAGCATGGCGCAAAAATCATTTATTAGGTAAAATTTACTTTTCAGTTTTGTACTTTTTACGAAATGTGTGGTGATAAGTACTATATTTTTGAAAAACAGAATTTCTGGTAAACCGTTACCATACGAACCGAAAAATAACCAATTCACTGGTTTAAATGCCGTATATTTTGATTTTATTAACCAGAATTAGACTTTTTTGTCATGAATGTCATTACCATACAGTATGTTGATTTTTCCAGAATTAATTTCTATGTGTATCTTTTTGATTTTACACTCTTAAAAATCAACGTTGAATCAAAATATATTTGTGCCTCGAACTATGATACTATTTAAATATGATATTAAATGGAACCCTATTTCTGTTTAATTTTTACCGTGTGATTAAATTTAAGAAGTGCGATAATATATTTAACTTAGCACCCTACTACACTGTAAAAAATTCTGGATCAAATAACGGTATAAAGTAGTACCGGCATGTTGGACGCATCATCCGTGAAATCCATTTTCACCGTGAAATACTATACTGTAATTCTTACAGAAATATTTATTTAATTAGAGTGATTAAGTGATTTTACGATTATTATTACTGCAAAAATTATGGTCCATTAAATTTTTCGTTCCACAGCATGTTCCGGTAAATATGGATTTTACGGTGAAAAGTACCGGCACCCTCAGGGCCGATACTTTTTACCGTAATTTGATCCGGGATTTTTTTACAGTGTAAGGTTGTAACAAATTTTAAAAACATTCAACATGATTCAAAATTCTGAATAGTGTTGTAGTTAAAAGATTTTAGTAATTTAGTTATAGTAGTTAAAAAATATCACAAAAACCCATGTGGACCTAAAAAAGAGAACTTTTAGAGCCCAATTATGAGAATTAACGAGAATTCTTTTTATCTTAAGCATTGCTGATTTCACAACCAGCAAAAGTTTTTAATTTCTTTCAAAAATCAAGTGTTATCTAGTAGAAGAAAATATTCCTTCAAATAATAAACATTTAAAATAACCACAAAAATTCAGGCGTTAATGGGTTTTTAACGATATAAAAAAATGTGCCTAAACTATTTTTGATGCAACGATAGAGTTTGATTATAAACATTATATAAAAGTATGCGTTTTTTTAAAGCGTTATTTAAGTCATTTAAATAACTGGGAACAACTCCGTTGTCATGAAATTAGAGTGTGAGAGATTCGTGTAATAATATTGCTAGAGATTTTTTTTCTGATCGCTAAATAGGGTGCATATTTACGTGTAGAATACTTCCGTGCGATATTTCAATTAAAATTGATATTACAAAAGATATCTTCGATATTATCACTTTGGTAGATAGCGTGATATGTAAAACCTTGTTGCTCCTTCATCGTGATAAGTTGAACCTCTTTCGTGAGTTGTTGATAAGCAACTTTTTTATTTTTTTGTTTCAGAGTATTTACCTGAATTACTCATTAAATCTTACAACACATGTAAAGACTGAAAAGGATCTTGTTCATTACACCGAACATTGACGACAAGGCATTCATGATAATAACAGTTCCTAACATTGGAAGCTATTGCTAATGAGAATAGAAGAAACTGTATCAGACTTTTTTTTAAAAATATTTAAGGCTATTACATAGCTTTAAAGTATAGTCAAACCATGCATTTACATTTTATATAAGAAGAAACTGTGTACATTTTATATAAGAATTACTGTGCACATTAAAATTTTATGTAAGGAAACTAATATTAATTTAAAATTTAACATAACTTGCAAATTATTGTTTGCAGAAAAAAATGGGTTATTTAAAAAGTGTGTATGCCTAACGCTTAACAAGAAAACCTCTGTTTTTAGGTACCTTCATCATCATTTTACAATTCACCAAGTTAATTGGAAAAGTCACCAGTAATTTCTAATCGAGTTGCGGCGGCTCGGGGAATAGAACATCTGCCACCCAATGAGGTGCCCCAGGTTCGAATTCTCTTTGTGATTGGTGGATATGAATTCTGCTCCAAGCCCGCGCTGACCAGAGTTACTGACGTAAAATATTCTCAGTAGTAGATAGAGCTTGGATAAGAATCTCCATAACCGTAGGAGGATTTTCTTCCATTTAACACAAATGCTGGTTAGTTCCCTCAAAGAAGTCCTTCACGAAGGCTAATTTGTCCCTGGCTAGTTGTTGTTAATTTGTCCCAAGTTCGGCATTGATAGTTTGATTCAGTGGAATCCCTTGTAATTTTTATCCCTTGTCTTCTGAGTTGAGATCAAAATTACAAGGCTACGGAGTTGAACATTGATAGTGGTAAACTCAAAATCGGGCCAACTGTTCAACACTGGCTACGAAATAAAATAACCAGTTTAACACATTTTTGACTTATAGCAACGAACCCCAATATTTTTAGATTATTGAAAATGCATCATTACATGTTCCAACAACCTAATTTGTTTCAGACTATTTCCAACGAGCCTAGATAATTTTTGGTCACAAACGATATCATTGTTATTAAGAAATGATACCACCACTCATTTAGTTTGATTTTCTACACTTCTCTATCTATATTGCCGGCATTAATATAATAATCATTAATATATTCGGCATTAATATATCCCACACAAATTCAGTTTAAGTAAATTTCGGTTCATACTTCAATTAGCCTAAGGGCATATAGGTTGGATATAATATTTCTGAAAAATATCAGACTGAATAAAAATTGCTAGAGATTTTTTGAATAAGTCTGGCACCTGGCAAGATGACGATATTTGCAAAGGGCTATACATATTTCCATTAGCCTAGGACGTGTATGCACGGTGAGAAGTGTCTGAGATTTCAAACGTTTGTAAAATAGTTTTCAAATATAAAGCAAAAAGCACTCCCGAAACAGCCCGCTGTGGTTCAGGAGGTTCATGGAGGTTAAGACTCCACAATTTCGTGACCATCGACACGATAGTGGCAATGTGGTCAGCACTACGCATAGGCCGCCCTTACTTCCCTGACAAACTGGTACCTATCAATCTGACTCTGAGTGGGTTTTTAGTCCACTCAGACTATTATAAGAAGTTTATGAAATTATACTATCATACGAAGAAGTTATACTATTATATTATATCTTATACTATAATACGAGGAATGGTTGCCAAGTCGAAAATCGCCCCAGAATTAATAAACTCCGGTAAACTTGGGGGTCTGGGGTTTTTGGCCACGAAGAATCGATTTGCGCCGGTTTTGAAGCGCTACGGTCGAGCAGAGTTAATTTCTATNCAGGATTTTCCTCTTGACGACGAATATATATTCTTTGTATTTATGTGTTTTTGTTCTCAATAAAATTAAATTTGTTTGTTTAAAAAATTTGTTTGTTAAATTTGTTGTTAGTTTGTCGTTAGTTGTTAGTTTGTTGTTAGTTTCGACATTGGTAGCTTGATTCAGTGGGATCCCTTGTAATTTTGATCCCTTGGCTTCTGAGTTAGGATCAAAA